GTACAGCGGTCTGGAGTTCGGGCTCGGTAGTGAGTTTGGACTTGCTTCTGATGTTCGCTTTGGGTGCTCTACTGTCCCGAGCTGCTTGCCTTTGCCACGTGTCGGGCGATCGCGAGGTCGGGCCAAATTTCCCTTCATCAGTAATGTTTTATATATGAAAGATATTGGCCCGAAATCAAGCCCTGCCCGGCCCAGGCCCAGGCCCATGTAGACCTGGGCTAGGGCTTATGTTATAGTCCCGGAACCCCAGGCCGGGCGAGCCTGGACCTAAGTTATAGCCCTTATCATAGGTGCAAAGCCTGGCCCAACCCGACCCATGATCACCCTTACCTACAACTAGGGGTGATCATGGGCTGGGCCTAAGACAGGCTTTGCACTTATGAAGTTATGATATGGGTTATAGTTTAGGTTCGGGCCTGGCCCGGCCTAGAGTTCCGAGCCTAAAACATAAGCCCTAGCCCAGGTCTATATGGGCCTAGACTGGGCCTGATTTCGGGCCAATGTCACTTATATATAAAACATTACATATCTATAATTTTTATATTAAATAGCATCACATATAAATTTATTTTATATATTATATAATATAAAATATTATATATAATATAAATTATACATGTCATGTTATAATATTTATATATAATATATAATATAATGTAAAATAACATGTATATATATTTATATATTATACACAAAATGTATAAGTTTAAATATATGCAGCTGGATCGGGCTCCAAGTATTAAACCCATGCCCGGCCCTAAAATTTACGGGCCTAATATAAGCCCATGCCTAAACCAGACCTGAACACAAAACCGAGGCCCACGCCCGAAATTTTCGGGCCGGACCGAAATGATCACCCCTACTACAACATTGATCAGAATTCTATCGGTCTGTGTTACCGCCTTACCGGCATGCACGCAGACGCAATTCACCCGGCTTTCCCGGAACGTAGGACTCACGTTTGTAAGTTGGGTCGAGTCGAGCCGCTCTAAAAACTAAAATGAGCCGCTCTAAAAACTCATGTTAGTTTTTACTTTTTAGTAAAAAAAGAGATAGAGAGAGAAATGGGTAGAAGAGGATAGTTTCCACACAAAGGAATCCAAGAAACTGATGGAGTGATAGCTGTCGTTGGCGGAGACAGAATCGGGGGTGTTTCTGTTACTGTTACGCGCCACGCCAAATTATCCCCTCATTTTGCTTTTTTTCGCTTAATCTCTTTCGCCCTTCTAACGCGACTAGAAGATATGTCCAAGGATCGAATTCCTTCAAAGAGATCTTCACAACTCTGTCTCGAATTTTTCATACAAGAAGATATGTTCAAGGATCGAATTCCTTCGGATCTGTGATTATTCTGGCGGGAAAAAATGAAGAAAGGAGGTTGTCGGGCTTGGGATAATTAGGGTTTAATTTCCGAGAGTAGGAGGTTTTACGTGGGAGATTTGGGAATTGTTCAAAATTTGAGTGTTTAAAGTGGGGAATTCGAGGGGGGAAAAAGGGTTCCTGCGAGTTGTTTGGCGGATGAGAGGTTTTGAAGGTTTGAATGGGGGTTCCAGAAGGAGTGAGGTTTTCACTTTGATTTGGAGAAATTTGGAAATTTTTCCTTGAGAATCTCCATAACGGGGAGAGCAGTGGAGCTCGATTTCGAGGAACGAGGGAGGATCTCAGTTTCAGAGCATGTAGGACAGTCAAGTGCAGCATTATTTTCTGCAACGAGGATTTTTTTTTTTTTCTGAAGATTTTAATAGATTCTAAACTCGCATAAGGAAAGAAGAGGAAACAGAATAACGGCAGAAAGAGAGAGCAACTGAATTACAGAAGATCAAAGCGGGAACTGCTAAAAGCGAAGAACAACAAGCCTCTTTTTGAAAATCTCTCGAGCTTTTTTTCGTAACAAGTAAGGATTCGTTATGTTTTCACACATTAACCATCAGTTTCTTCCTTACTTTTCCTACTTTTTGCTTTATTCCATTATTTCCTTTATTTGCTTTCATTAAATGGAGTTTCTTTACCCATGCGGCTGCTTGTTTTGAAATGGCCCACGTTTCCAAAGAAAGAAAGCTTCTTTGTTTTGTTGTAAAATTAAATGTGCATGGTGGTTTACTGGTTTTGGTGATCTTTTTAGGAATTTAGAAGACGAAAAAAAAAACGATTCTTATAGTTATGTAGTCGTAGATTAGCTAAATCGTACCATAATATCAGTGTCTTATAGTACAATTTTTTTGATGTTTAATGTGATTATGGTGATTTACAGGGAGATGGCAACTTTGGTGGAACCCCCGAATGGGGTCGGATCCCGAGGGAAGCATTACTACACCATGTGGCAAACCCTGTTTGAGATTGATACCAAGTATGTGCCGATCAAGCCCATTGGTAGAGGAGCCTATGGTATTGTGTGCTCTTCTGTAAACAAGGAAACAAATGAGAAAGTTGCAATTAAGAAGATCCATAATGCCTTTGAGAATCGTGTTGATGCACTGAGAACTCTGCGGGAGCTGAAGCTTCTCCGGCACCTTCGACATGAAAATGTGATTGCTCTGAAGGATGTTATGATGCCCATCCACAGGAAAAGTTTCAAGGATGTTTACCTGGTCTACGAGCTCATGGATACGGATCTTCACCAGATTATCAAGTCCTCCCAGGCACTTTCCAATGACCACTGTCAGTATTTTCTCTTCCAGGTATGCTATTTTCTGGGTCATAGTTTACTTGAACTATCCTGTAAAGTGTTAATGATTTGGCTTAAAGTCTAGCCATGCAGTGATACAATGATAACTTTTAACCATGTTAGAGAACTTCATCCCATGAGCTAACGTTTAGAATCATTTATTTATATCCATCAATCCACTAATTACAAATAGTACTTTCAAAAATCTGATCTGTTGTCTCATACAATTGATAGTCATTTGCTTCAACGTGATTTCACTTTTAGAATTCATCATCTTATTATACCATTACACCACAAGATATGCAAAAAATAAACAATTATTTAATTTCTTGTGGAATTTGCCTTCACCCTCAGTTATTGCATAACACAATTTAAGACTTGGTAGCAGAAGCATCGCAAGATGGTTTCTTTCTTTCTTTCTTTGTTTCTTTCTTTTTGTGTGTGTGTGTGGGGGGGGGGGGATTCTTCCCTGGCTCCTCCTCTGCTTGGTAGCCATGGAGATTTCAAAGAATTGGTCTCAATTGATATATATATATATATATTTATATAAATTGAGAAAAGAATAAGAGTATGGCTATTTGTCTGGCACTAAAACAGTAGGTTATTGAGGATTTCTATACAGTAAGCTCTTCACAATTGCTCAGTCTATGCAATGTTTTAGACAGTGTGCCTAAGCTCATAGGATAGGAAGGCTCATTTAGTGGTGTGTTTGTGTCTTTCTTAATCCTACACCTGGCTTGTTACTTTGTTTTGATGGATTAACCTTGAATTTGACATTGAAGAACATATTTACCATATTTATAAGCTATATCTATGATACTTATAGAGTTTAAACAGTTTACCCTATGTAGGACTTGAAAGCACAGGGCTACAACCTTTGTATTAATAACACAACATGCTAACAAATTGAGTTAATTAGGGGTCATTGCTTGGTGTAATTGTAAAATAGAAGCAGATAAAAAACATGGGCTTGGATATGGAAACCAGGGATACAACTTTCTGGTAGACAGACATTTGTATTAATAACACGACATGCTAACAAGTTGAGTTAATTAGGGGTCATTGCTTGGTGCAATTGTAAAACAGAAACAGATAAAGACATGGGCTTGGATATGGAAAACAGGGACACAACTCTCCCGAATATCCTAATTTCTATGTTACTTATACCTTGCATTTATATTTGGTTTTCGTGCTAAATGTCATTTCTCAAGACTTATTTCTTAAATTTCTAACATGTACAGATTTTTATAGTATAATTCTTTTTTTTTTTGATGAATGAAAGTAGTTTTATTAAATCAGATATCAATAGTACAATCAGCTTAGGAGGAGGCATGAGATGTTACCCCCCCTAGGACTGAACCATATACACCAAAACTGCCCAGGCCTGAGACACAATTACAAAGTAGCCCAAAATATATCTCCCCTTGACACCCCTTGCTTGGCCAAAGAATCAGCCATTGCATTTGCTGATCTTCTGACCTACTGAAACCTGACAGTCATATTCCTTGTCATCCATTTAACTTTCTTTAACAGATCCTTGTAGCCTCAACAGGCTGTTTCTGGGTTGATTAGCCAGCCTACTACTACCTTGGAATCCCCTTCTACTAGCAGATTGGTCACTCCAATTTGACTAGCCATCTGTATACCTTGTACCGCTGCTAGTAGCTCTACCCTTACTGAATCGCTTTCACCCACTGGTCCTGAAAATAGAGACAACATATTGCTGTCTTTGTCTCTCAGAATCCCACCTATTCCCGATGGTCCTGAATTACCTTGGCAGCTACCATCAAAATTCAATTTTACCACACCATCCGGGGGGCGGGGGAATCCATTCAACTTGTGATTTGATCTTGATGGAGACTGTAGCAGCCACTGCAGCCCAATCTCTCCTGAAGTCATCAAAGGAGTAATCTGCCAACAAGTGTGAAAATTTTAACCATGAGATAGTCCTTGTCAATATGAATTCCTTGATTTCAGCAAGACTTCTTCCCTGTTCTTGAAATATTTTTGCATTTCTCTCCTCCCATACAATCCACAACATGGCGGCTCTGACACATTTCCACATTAGCTTCCCTCTTTTTGTCAATCTCCCTAAGGTAACTGGAGTGAACAACAACTTTGCTTCAAAGGGAAAATTCCACCTGCACCCAAATAAAGAAGCAACCCGGTTCCAAATATTGGTAGCGAAAGAGCATGATATCAAGAAATGGTTACAATCCTCACCCCACTTTACACAAAGAGCACCAATTAGGGGACAAGCACATAAAAGGTTTCTTCTTTTGCAAGTTTTCACAGTATTAATCTTACCATAATAGGCTTTCCAACAGAACACAGCTATTTTGGGGGGAATTGGTTGTGACCATACCTCTTTAACGGGAAAGACCTAAGAGGAGGGGTTGGAGCTAGACCTGTTCATGGGCCGGGCCGGGCTTTTATTGTGTATTAACAAATTTTTTTAAGGCCCGAGCCCGAGCCCAGCCCGACCATCGGGCCTACAATTTGGGCCCGAGCCCGGTCCTCATAAAAAGCCCGAAGCCTGAGCCTGGGCCCGGGCCCGAAATTTAGCCTATATTATTATTATTAATGTTGAAGCAGTTGAATAAAGAGAGAGATAGATTGAAATTATAAAGAAAAGAATAATATATATTAAATTATAAATATATATTTTAATAAATATTATATTATTTATATATTTTATAAAATATATAATACTGAGTCGGGCCGGGCCGGGCTCGGGCCGGGCTTTTTTGACAAATCCTGAGCCCGGCCCGAAACACAGTCGGGCTTACTGTGTTAAGCCCGAGGTCAGGCCCGCGGGCCTAATTATATGACCAAGCCCGGCCGGG